CAATGGAGTGCTAACTGGTTTTGCGCTGCTCATCGCAAACCTTTCTAGCATTTTCTCAACATAACCCCGTTGAGATAGCCGCAGTTTCCTTGAGTCTCTGTCCCTGCAAATTTCCATTCCAAGAATTTTCTTTGCAGCACCTAAATCTTTCATATCAAATTCCTTACTCAATAAAGTTTTCAAACCGATAACATCATCCATGTTCTTCGCAGCAATCAACATATCATCAACATACAGTAATAGAAAAATAAAAGAACCATCATCAAGGCTCTTAACATAGACACAACAATCATACTCACATCGGTTGTAGCCAATCTTGATCATATAGGAGTCAAACCATTTATACCACTGTCTCGGAGACTGTTTTAACCCGTACAAAGATTTCTTCAATCTGCAAACTAAATGCTCGTTTCCAGGTTGAGTGAAACCTTCAGGTTGCCGCATGTAGATCTGCTCCTCTAAATCACCATGCAAAAAAGCAGTTTTAACATCCATCTGCTCTAAATGCAAATCCCAACTAGCCACCAATGCAAGTACTGCTCGGATTGAAGTGTGCCTGACCACAGGAGAAAAGATTTCATCATAATCAACTCCTTTCTGCTGTGAAAAACCCTTCGCTACCAAACGAGCCTTGAACTTCTCCCCCTCTTTTTCTGTTACTACTGGTTTCTTCTTATACACCCATTTGCAACCAATCGGCTTCTTACCCTCAGGAAGGGGAACTAACTCCCATGTGCGATTGTGATTCAAAGACTCCATCTCCTCAACCATGGCTGCCATCCACTTGTCGTTTTCCTGACTAGTAACGGCATCATGAAAAGTAACCGGATCATCACTGCTAACAATAAGTGCAAAAGATACCAAGTCTTTAAAACCCAATCTGTTCGGAGGCTTTATATTCGTCCGTCTCACCCTGTCTCTGGCGAGACTATAATCCTGCAAATCATCCGTAGTGGAACCACCAGAAGTCGGTTGAGAAGTTTCTGGTTTCTCAACTGGAAACTACTCGAAATCTACCACTGTCGTGTCTTGCTTCTGCTGCAACATAAACTGTTCATCAAAAACGACATCTCTACTAATCACAACTTTCTTCGCAACTGGATCCCAGAACTTGAATCCTTTGACACCTTTCTTGTAACCCAGAAAAATACACTCCTTCGATTTTGCATCAAGTTTGGATCTCTCATCAGCAGGTACATGCACATAAGCAGGACAACCAAAAATCCGTAAGTTATCAAAACTAACATCATGACCAGTCCATACCTCTTCTGCAACTTTTCCAGCCAGCGATGCCCTTGGCGATCTGTTGATAAGGTAACACGCCATGTTAACAGCCTCAGCCCAGAAGTGTTTGGGAAGCCCCGCATTCAACCGCAAACATCTGGCTCTTTCATTCAACGACCTGTTCATTCGTTCCGCAACACCATTCTGTTGTGGTGTCTTGCGCACTGTAAAATGCCTCTGAATCCCATGCTCCTTACAGAATTGTAGGAACTGTGAATCTGTGTACTCCGTACCATTGTCAGACCGCAAACACTTGATTTTTTCGTCCGGTTTGGTTTTCTACCTCAGCTTTCCACAGCTTGAACTTCTCAAAAATTTCAGATTTCTGTTTCAAAAAATACACCCAAACTTTCCGTGAAAAATCATCAATAAAAGTAACATAGTACCTAGATCCACCCAAATACGATGTCGTGGAAGGCCCCCATACATCAGAATGCACATAATCAAGAATCCCTTGAGTTGTGTGCTTCGCAGTCTTGAAACGGACTTTAGTCTGTTTACCAAGAACACAATACTTGCAAAAGTCGAGCTTACAGCTTTTGACACCATGCAACAAGTTTCTCTTGTGTAATTCTGCCATACCACGTTCACTAAGATGAGCAAGGCGCATATGCCACAATTTTGTCGTATCATCACAGGACTCAACAGAGTGAACTCCACCTGCAACGGTACTCCCTAACAATCTGTAGATATTCCCTGCAGTCATCTTGCCTTTCATCACAGTCAATGCTCCTTTAACAATCCGAATGGTTTCCCTATCCTCATCAGCCTTAGGGATAAAACCATTCTTGTGCAAAGTGCCCAAGGAAATCAAATTCTTCTTCAAGTCTGGGATATGTCGAACACCACTCAACGTCCGAACGGAGCCATCGTGCATCTTAATTCTGACATCACCAATACCAACAATATTGCAACATCGATCATCACCCAAATAAACCGAACCAGAATTAACCGGCCTGTATGTCGAAAACCATTCCCTATTTGGCGTGATGTGATAAGAACATCCAGAATCAAGAATCCAAGCATCCGTCAATTGTGTCGTTGAAATAGAAAGCATATCACCCTCACTGCAATCAGAAGTATCATCCTCGACCACGTTCACAGACTTGGATGAGCCATCACGCTTCTCATCGGTCTGCTTTTTCAACTTCGGACAGTCTCGCTTCATATGTCCCGCCTCCTTGCACTTGTAACAGTGAATCGTCTTCTTATCCCTGGATTTGGATCTGGAATTCCGCTTCCCGGACCCTGCCTTCTCTGGCTTCCGTCCACGATCTCGATTACCCTTGACATATAAGCTATCGGCTTGAGAGCTTTCCCCTGCATTCTGCTTCCGCTGGTTGTGAGCCAACAAGGCTGCAGTAATCTCCTCAACATTGATAGTCTCTTTCCCATATGTAAGAGTAGTCACCATGTGTTCGTAAGAGGAAGGCAACGAACACAACAGAATCATCGCTCTGTCTTCATCCTCAATTTTCACATCAAGCCGAGCCAGATCAGAAACGATTTGATTGAAGACATTCACGTGTTGCGCCAAATCGTGATCGTCCTGCATCTTCAGCCCATACAACCGCTGCTTCAGATACAGTTTTGTCGTTAAGGATTTGGACATAAACTGACTTTCCAACTTCCTCCAAATTTCGTCTGGAGACGATAGATGCATGACGTGATACATGACCTCGTCCGCCAAGCATAATCGTATGGTTCCTGTCGCTCGCTGCTGCAATTCTTCCCAATCTTCCTCATCCATCGACGCCGGCTTTGTAGGTCGCAAAGCCTTCAAGATCCCTTGCTGCGCCAATAGATCCTTCACCCTCGTTTGCCATAATCCGAAGTTACCCTGACCATCGAATTTCGCGACTTCGAATTTTGCTCCTGACATCTGATACCAATTGTTGACGAAAACGGGTAAAGAAAACGAAAGAACACGAGAATTTTACGAGGTTCGGCAATGTGCTTACGTCCTCGGTGCCTAGGCGGCGCTAGAAGTTTTATTCAATGATATTTTAGGTCTAGGTTACATCTCTATTTATAATAGAAACCCCTGGTACATAATTACAAAATCAACCCTGTACCGTACCGCGGGGGCTGCGCCCCCACACCCCCAACCCACATAATTCGTAACCTCACAACGAGACTTTTTATGAGCCATACATAACATCCGGAATGAAAGAAAGATAAAATGTTGAAAAAGGCTCTTTATATTATCATATGTATTATATAATATAAATATTGTAATAAAAATCTTTAAAGTTTCGAATGAAAATAAATATCTACAAAATTTCTAAAAAATATAATTTTAACAAAAAATATAAAAAAAATTAATATAATAATTTTAAAATTTTAAGAAGACAATTACTCTCATCGACCCCTCCTCGGTCCATCCATAAATGTACTAATTTTCCTTAAATTATTTTAAGTAAATTTAGCGAACATTGTGAAGGAAAGTATTTAGCCTAGAGGAAGATCGCTTGAAAACAGCTCACCCTCGTAAACTATTACTAGTATTTGCCTACTCATCAACCAATCATAACTCCAGCTTTTTTGAGAGAAGAGAAAAACCACAAAGACATCCCACACCATCAATAGATGAGCTTGACAGACACAAATGCTGCCGTGCTCCACGTGGTGATGAAGGAGAGACATGGAGACACGTGTCTGTAAACTCGTACGTGGCAAATCATCATCCACAGTTATACATACTCCTACTTAAAAAAAAGGAAGGAAACTGATTTCACGTTGGTTTGGTTCATCTGTTTGCATTTTCATGGAAAACCCCATCACTGTTATTATTATTTGAAGAAAAGAAAAACAATTTTCATGAAACCCTAAACCAGCCAACGAAGAAAACAGAAAAAAGGGTTTAGAATTTGATCAGAGGGTTTCCACGTTTGGATAACCGTTACGATAAGCAGTGGCCCCGGGAATCAAATAGCGGTCACAGTCGTATTTTTGGTCATGTTACATTTGTCGTTATTGTAAACATAGCAGATACTATTATTATGAGGATTGCAAGTATCACGGTTATATAATAACGGTTTCAAATGACATCACTACCGTTATATTACAGGCGCTATCGTAATTACAAACTGCTATTTAAATTTCTGAATGGCGGATTTAGACATATTTTTTAAGATGAATACACACATCTTAATTATTGAATTATTGAATTATTAAAAAATTTCGTATATAATAAATTGTACCCATACTAAAATAAACATAAAAAAACTTGTTTTAGGGTAAACACGTGCCCACCTTCTATATGCTTGGCATCCGCCACCGTCTATAAGAGACTCTATCTTTTGATTCTTCCCTTCAAACCCAGTTTTTTCATCTCTTCCTATGCCAAGGTACCTTGCAGAAAATTCGGAATTTTCTTTTTCGTTTTACATTTATGCATGCAATGAAAATACCCAGAAATTCAGATTTTTTGTATCAACCATAATTAGAAATCAGAGTCATCGTTTTGGTTTGTTTTATCTCGATGATCACGTATCCTAGTTGGATTAGATTACTCAACTAGATTTTTAATTCAATTTCCTTTTCAACGAAGAAATTTCTATATCACTTATCACCTTAACCAAAACAGCAGTCGTTCTATATTTATTATCCAATCTGGCCGCCGCCGCTTGCTTATAACTTCCTTTTTCGTATTTATTAGTTTCATATATATATATAATCTCCCAAAGGAAGCAAACTAGAAAGGCTCTGAAGAGATGGAGATTCTTAACCAGCCTTATGTTGACCCTGAGTTTGAATCCCTTGTTGAACGAATCAATGATCCAAGGTACTGCAAACAAACATTATAAAACCATCTTTTTTTCCTTGTTTGTTTTGGTTTAATTCTTTAGTTTTGATGTTTGCAGAGTTTGTATCGATAACGACACATGTTCACACTGCACGGTTGTTAAGGTTGGATTAATATGAACTAAACTAAACTAAACTTCGTCTATGATGTTTTGTTTACGTAATACGTATGGATATTTATTGTTTTGTCATGGTTCACAGGTGGACAGTGCAAACAGGCATGGGATTTTGCTAGAAATGGTCCAAGTTTTGACAGACCTTGACCTTGTTATTTCCAAATCTTACATTTGCTCCGACGGTGTATGGCTCATGGATGGTCAGTGCATGGCTCTATGCCCTCTTTTCTTCATTCTTACTGTCTGAAAATATAAAGAATCAGACCTGATTTGTCTGGTTGCAGTGTTTCATGTGAGGGACCAGCTTGGGAAGAAAATCACTGACGAGACTCTCACGCTCTGTATTCAACAGGTTTCTTCTTCTCTAGATTAACAAAAAGCTATAGGGTTTTGATTTTGATTCGTTTTCTGATGAGAAAAAATAATGATCGACAGGAACTTTGTGATACTAGGAGGAGAGGAGGGATTCAAAAGGACTTACAAACATGTCTGAAAAGGAACCATGCCTCAATGGAACATACGGCCTTGGAGATAACCGGGAGGGACCGACCTGGTCTCATGTCAGATATATCAGCAGCTCTATACGAATTGGAATGCCATATTATACCAGCTGTCGCATGGACTCATAATGGTCGCATGGCTTGTTTAATTCAACTAGAAGATGGAGTCGAAGGAGGGCCTATTACGGTTCCGAAACGACTGGCTCAAGTACAGGAGAAGCTAGAGAGTGTAACGGAGGCTCATCATGAGAATGTAGATGAGAAGACCGTACGGTTAACTGGTCTGGCAACCGATAGGATACATACGGAGCGATGGCTCCACCAGCTAATGTATACGGACCGAGACTACAAGTCGTGTCGAGGATGCACCGGCAACTGCAGGCACCAGAATGAGTGCAACAATACTCATGTAACGGTCGGGACTTGCAGGGAAAAAGGGTACTCGGTGGTGAACGTGAGGAGCAGAGACAGGAACAAGTTATTGTTCGATACAGTTTGTGCCTTCACCGACATGCAATACGTTATATTCCATGCAGCGGTCAGCTTTGTTGAATGATGAAGATGTTGCTTACGTGTGTAGGTAGTTATGCAGTTAGTATTGTTGTATAACTATTATGAGTAGTTAATAGAAGCCTTAGGTTGTTGTGTAGTTCTTGTATAAAAACAGTGCTATAGATCAATAAAGATTATGCCTCTTGTTATACATTCTTGTAATGTGGTTGCTATTCTAATATGGTATCAATCACCATAGATTCTGGAGCTTCTGCTTCCTTCGCTGCGTAACTCTAGACGGTTGCCTTTGGTTCATCACAGTGTTCCTGTGCAAAAAATGTTCGTTTGGTGATTTGGATAGTTTTAGTGATCCTGGTATGATACTTCTGCTTGTATAAGTTGTCTTCTTGTTATTTATTGGTTGTTGTAATTTTTCAGATTTTGAGACACATTCAAATTCAATATTCAATAATAATAATATAGAAGTATAAGTTGCCAAAATGAAGAAAAACAACAACAAAATAGAGGGGAGGGGTCCGTCAAACTTCTGTAATCTGTAACCTAAATGAAATAAATAGAATTTGAAAGATGAATCAAAAGAAAATAATAAATATAGAAATAAAAAATGAGATTTTAAATTATTAAATTCATAAAATATTATAATACTTAAATTATTATATTTAACTTAAATTTTAAATTAAATATTTTTAAATATTTAAATATAATAAATAATTATTTATTATGTTTACTAACAAAAAGATCAATGTGGTATTGGATGAAATGAATTTCATGTTGTAGAAACAACAAGTTTTACTTACTGTTCGCAGCCACCGTCTTGAGCGTCTTCTAGAATGTTGTTAGTCAATGATTTACTTCATGTACCTGGTATAACTCAGAATTTATTTTTTGTATCCAAGTTTGATAGGGACAACAATGTGATATTTGAGTTTCATGTTAAATGTTGCTATGTTCGTGATGTTGTTACTGGAGAGATGCTTCTTCAAGGATGTATGCAATAAGGACTTTATGTGTTTCCTAATAATACTACTTCAAGTGTTTGTAAAAAAACCTGTGTAAATTGTGTTATGGTTGATGATGTTTACAATCTTTGGCATAGAAGGTTAGGGCATGCAACATATGGTACAGTTGCTAGTGTATGTCAAACTCTTGATGTACGAGTTACTAAAGATGTGAATAAGATTTGTGAAGCTTGTTGCATTGGCAAAAGTCATAAACTGCCTTTCTTCCACTCCAATTCTGTCTATACTAAACCCTTTCAACTTGTTTATACTGATATATGGAGGCCATCTCATATAACTTCTAATGAATTTTACTATTATTTTTCATTTGTTGATGCCTATTCGAGGCATACTTAGGTTTACTTTTTGAAAGCTAGATCGTAGGCAATGAATACATTTAAGTTTTTTCAGCAAATGGTTTCTACTCAGTTTGGATTGTCTATGAAGGCTGTGCAAAGTGATTGGGGTGGGGAGTATCGCAGCCTCTCGTCTGTTTTATTGAAAGATGGGATCATTCATCGTGTTGCTTGCCCTCACACATCAGAGCAGAATGGTGTGGTATAAAGGAAACATCGACACATCATTTAACTTTCTTTAGTACTACTAGCTCAGGCTGCTATGCCTTTACGTTATTGGTATTATGCGGATGTTACTGCAGTGTTTCTCATTAATAGACTTCCTACTAGGGTCTTGAATAGACTATCACCTCACGAGAACTTTTGGGGGAAGAAGCCAGAGTATGAATTCATAAAGGTCTTTGGGTGCAAGTGTTTTTCTCACTTGAGAATGTTTCAGCAACACAAACTTGATTTTCAATCTCAACCATGTACCTTTTTAGGTTATAGCCCTCAGCACAAAGGATATATGTGTCTAGCAACCAGTGGCAAGATATACGTTTCTAGACATGTAATTTTTGATGAGTTTGTTTTTCCATTTGCAGGGATTGGTAGTTCAAGTAATGCTTGTGTGCCTTGTAAATAGAAATCTACAGCACTTTAACTTAGGACCGATATACGGCAGTTTCAAACCAGTAGGACTTGTGCAGTACAAGAGACTTGTTGTTCTAGTGAAATGGACCAAGCTGCTTTGGATTAGGGTGTTGCTCCTCTGAAAGCAACAGTTCAACAAGAGGTAGTTGATGCAAATGCAAATAATGTTTATGGAGGTTCTGGTGACATGGGTCAGGCCACTATAGATATGGGTGATACTTCTCTAGGAGTTGTAGTTCAACAAGAAGAAGGTGGTGTAACTTCAGTCAGTGCAACTGAGAATGATGAGATAATGGTTCAAGTACAACTTGTGGCAGTTTTTGATTCCTTTGACAATGTTTCTCCTCCATTACAAATCACTGCTACAAGGGGTGGTAGTGATGAAGGTTCTTTGAATCGATATTCGATGCTGACAAGAAGTAAATGTGGTATATTTAAGCCTAAGTTGTATTTGGCTAGCTATGATGATATTGAACATGTGAATGTATATGAGGCACTTCAGTCCTCTCATTGGAGAGTTGTAGTGCACGCAGAATTTGAAGCTTTGCGAAAAAATGGTACGTGGATTCTTGTGAAGCTTCCTGAAGGACGATAAGTGGTTGGATGTAAATGGCTTTTCAAGTTGAAAAAGAACCCTGATAGTTCGATTAGCAGATATAAAACTAGGTTAGTAGCTAAAGGATTCTCGCAAGTACCAGAACATGATTTTGGTGAGACATTTAGCCTAGTTGTTAAGTTTGCAATGTTGAATGTTGTCCTTTCATTGGATGTAACGAATGGTTGGCAACTGCGTCAGGTGGACGTGAACAATGCATTTTTGCATGGTGATATGCATGAGGAGGTTTTCATGCAACAGCCACCTGGGTTCAAACAAGTGGCTACTGATGGTAGTCTTTTAGTGTGTAAGTTGCAGAAGGCATTGTATGGTTTACATCAAGCCCCTCGAAACTGGCATGACAAACTTAAAAGTTGTCAAGTTAGAATTGGTTTTAAAGAATCTTCAACAAACACATCGTTGTTTGTTCGTTGGGCAAACAATCAGTGTGTTTATATACTTGTATATGTTGATGACATAGTGTTGACTGGGGATTCCAGTTTGCAGATTGAGGAAGTAGTGAGGTTGCTTGGGATTGAGTTTGCCTTAAAAGATCTTGGTGATCTACATTATTTTCTGGGCATAAAAGTTAAGCGTTGTGGAGGTTCGTTGATTCTTAGACAACGAAAGTTTATTTTTTGGAGCTATTAATGAAGACTAAGATGAGTAATGCCAATTCTCCTCTACACCCATGCTTGTATCTGCTAAGTTGAATCGAGGTTCAGGGTTGTTACTTCAGAATGCTTATGAGTATCGAAGTATTATAGGTGCATTGATATATGAATGTCATACTCGTCCAGACATTGCATTTAGCGTTAATAAGGTTGTACAATATATGCATGATCCAAGACAAGAACATCTTGTTGTTGTTAAAAGGATCTTGAGGTACTTGGTAGGGACGATTAATCATGGTTTGGTCATAGCACCTGCAGTGGTAGGATTCAATGTTATAGCATTTACTGATGTTGATTGGGCTACAAACACTGATGATCGCAAGTCTATTTCTGGTTATTGTGTGTTTGTAGGTGATAATCTAGTTATGTGGAATTCTAGAAAGCAAAAGTCAGTTTCCAGATCCACTATGGAGGCTGAGTACAAAAGTGTTGATGATGTTACTGCTGAAACAACGTGGGTGAGTGCTCTTCTGTCTGATTTGGGTTTTGCAAGGCAGAAAAGTACCAATTGTTTGGTATGATAACAGCACTGTTGTTGCCATGACAGCTAATCCTGTCTATCATGCAAAGAGTAAGCATGTAGAGCTTATGTTCACTTTGTTCATGATAAGGTTTCATTGAAACAAGTGGTGGTGAATTATGTACCAGATAGTCATCAAGTTGCTGATGGTTTCACAAAGCCTCTGGCTGCAGCTCGGTTTGAAGTGTTTAAAGCCAAAGTGAATGTTTAGTCTTTTCTCGGGGAGGAAGAAGAAGTAGAGAGAACTTTGAATGATGAAGATGTTGCTGACGTGTGTAGGTAGTTATGCAGTTAGGAAGTTATTGTATAGCTATTATGAGTAGTTGATAGAAGCCTTAGGTTTCTGTGTAGTTCTTGTATAAAAACAATGTTATAGATCAGTAAAGATTAATCCTCTTGTTATACATTCGTGTAATGTGGTTTCTATTCTAACAAGCTTAAACGACTCCATGGCTAATCATGAATATTTCATAAGAAGGCAGGACGGGTGCAGTTTGGTTTCAGAGAGTGAGAGTCGTAAACTCACACAATGTTTGATTACGGCCATCAAACGAAGAGTTTCCCTTGTAAGTTCTATTAAAACATAGGGTAAAGTACATAAATGGTTCAAATGCTCTTTAAACTATAGAGTTTTGCTTTGTTGAGTTATCCTACTATTAAAAGCTACAAAATTATTTTCTGATTATAGATTGTTGTTTTATTGAGTTTACCGACTATTAAAAATTACAAAATGATCACTTAATTATTTATATGTTCTAAACGACAGTCTGAGTTGAATGTAAATTTGTTGACTGAGATATGATAAAATTCGATCCCATAATCATAAATTATCATCATATCTCAGCCAATATGTTAACATCCAGTTTAGACGACCATTATTTTTTTAACAAAAAAAACGAATTTGAAACACAAATAGTTGAATGATCATTTTATAACTTTTAATAGTCGAGTGACTCAACAAAAAACACTCTATAGTTGGAGATCATTTTATAATTTCTAATAATTGGGTACTCAACAAAACAATCCCAACAATCGGGACCATTGATGTACTTTATCTTAAAATATATTTTTTTATTAGTATGAGCTGCTTATAAGGAGTATGCTCAAACTCGACTTTGAGGGAAAATAATATTCTCTTTTATTACTAAGATAACTTGATGGGTTCTTACAACATAAAGTTTTTGCCTATGTTACTGTAGTTTCGAGTCATATTTAGCTGATGAAAATGGTGCAGGGATCAAGGGTGGATATAAGTAGTGAGAACAATATGGGATTGCTGTGGAAGGTGACGAGGGTGTTCCGAGAGAAGGACCTATCGATTTCAAGAATGGAATTAGGAACACATGGGGAGAAGGCAAGCGGATGTTTCTATGTGACCGATGCATCAGGGAATGATGCAGATTCAGGCACGGTGGAATCAGTGAAACAACAGATTGGGGGATCTGTTTTGGCCGTGCACAAGTCTTCATGGAGTTCGAGTACGAGTGAAGTGGAGGACAGGAGATGTACATTTTCATTAGGCAACCTGTTGTGGTCTCTCCTTAGTATTTAAGGTATTTATTATTATTCTTAAAAATCTCAGGTTCGAACATCGCATATATAACCATATAAACTTTTATCTCGCATATATATAACCGTATAAACTTTTATTTTCAAAGAGTTGAGAGGGATCTTGAACGAATATTATCTTATATTCTATCCTAACTTATCGAGGTCCCAGCTTGAGAGACTTGCTTCAAATTAAGGAACATCTTAGCACCGAGGATCATGCTGTAACTAACTATAACCCTATCTATTCAAATTAAATTTTAGGTTTTCCTTTCCGGTGGCGGAGCCACATATATTTGATTGTCTATCATGATATTCAAATTTTTCTGTTAAATTTTTATTTTATTGATGGTATCCACCCTGAAATTTTAATTGTGTTCATCCATTTTAAAAATTTTGTATTGTTAACCTATATATTTTCATCTTCAAAAATATTTCTGGATCTATCTTTTTTTAGTCAATGCCTTCATGGTTTCTTCATCTCTTCCAAGATACATGTTCTATGATAACGAAATGACGACGATTGCTAATAAAATAATTTAAGGTTGCCTATGTTATTATTAGAGGTGTGCAAAAAGATTCTATCTGATCGATTCAATCTGTTGATACGGTGATCTGATATGAAAATTCGGATATTCGATATGTTTTTAATTTTCGGATAATTCGGATTTGATATCCAAAAAATTTTGGATAATTGAATTGGATAAATTTCAATTTTGGATTATCCGAAAATCCAAAAATAAATTGGGCTTTTAGATTTTAGATACCTTTAGCCCAATAAATGAGTAACCCACTAACTCATTAAAGCTCTAATCCAATGAAACTTAGGATATTTAATTATTTATTGTCTGTGAGTAATTAAATATATATATATATATATAGTAGAAGTATCGAATATGTAGTATTAAATCATAAAATTTAAAATTTAAAACTATTTTTTATCAAATTAAATTTTAAATTCGGATTCAGATATTCTGATATCCGATTTTTTCAGATCAGATGTGGGTCACTATTTTAAGTATCCAAAATTTTCAGATCGAATCTGGTATCTGAATTTGCACACCATTAGTTATTATCCTCATTCAAAGTTTTTAGGGTAAATTACAAGTTTAATACTTCAACTATCAGTTTTAGTTCATTTTAGTATCTAATTTTTTTTAAAAAAAATATATCTAAAGTTTAATTTTTTTTTCATTTTAATATTACATCGTTAAAAAAAATTAATTTTTATTTCATTCTAGTATTCTCATTCAAAATTTAACATTATAATTTGAAGAAAAAAAAAGTTTAAGCACTAAAATGGAATGAAACTAATAATTTAGATACTAAATGTATAATTTCCTTTTTCTTATTGGAAAAAAACCAGTCTTGCCAAATTGGGTTGGATGATTGAATTTCATATATTTGTTTTAGTCCTATTTTGCGTATAAAAGTCATTTAGATCGAATACGCATAAAAGTTGAAAGTTTAAGTATTAAAACAGACAAAAATTAATATTTTAGGTATTGAACATGTTAAGATTTTAACGTGTAGTACTAAAGTGAAATAAAAATTAAGCACTGGGTATGATTTTAAAAAAATTACAAGTTTAGGTAATTAAACAGACTAAAACTGATAATTTAAGTATTACATGTGTAGTTTATCTTTTTTTATATAAATTTTAACTCTAGTTTTAATCATGTTTAAAGAGGAGGGAAGAGAAACTTTAAGAGAAAGAATGTGAGTCTATAATCTAAGGTTTAAAAACTATAAGAAAATAAAAACAACTTAATTAACCGATTATTTGTGTTCGCTCTAAAATTATACTTTTTGACACATGATTACAGGGATTAAACTGAACAATAATATAATTATTATAGTTGAATGGTTTAATTATAAGTTTTTAAAATACAATGACTTAATTACAAACTCACTAATAATAAAACAATATATTATATAATTTATCCAATTCGTACTTAAAACCCAAGTTCAGTTTTTGGGTCCAAAAGAAAGAGTAAAATATATATATCCAAAGTTTCTAAAGGCCCAAGGCCGGCCCCAATCATTTTCCCTTCCCTTTCTTTCAATTTTCTCAGCAAACAAACAAAAGCTCTAGCTGCTTAAGCTCATGTAAGTTACTACTTCATGGCCCTTAACCACTCCTTCCCACTAAAAATGTTGCTTCGAAATCGACTATGCTCTCTCAATCTCACTTCTTTTCTACCATCTCCTTCTCCACCTACCCAATCAGTATCTTTCATTTTCTCTTTCAACAAAACCATTGCTTATTCAACCCATAAGCCCCACGGATCAAAACCCCAAATTTCAGCTTCGAGGGCCACTAATCAACCCATTTCGGACCGAGTTCGGTTCACGAAGACGGTGCTGTTCGTGCCACCCGGGGTCGACCCTGAAGACGTTACCGATGAAATGATATTGCCCGGTTCGAACATCGTAGTCGGACCATACGCGGGTCATTCTCAGATTAAGGAAGTGGAGTTCGTTAAGAGTAGCGGGCGGGCTAAGGATTGTCCCAAAGATGATCGACCCGAGTTTGCGATCTTGGGTAGGTCTAATGTGGGCAAATCTTCGCTCATTAATGCATTGGTCAGAAAAAAAGAAGTTGCCCTCACTTCTAAGAAACCGGGTCGGTTCTTCTTTAAATTCTTCTTTCTTTTACTTCAGCGTTCCAATTTGTTTTGAAATCTTACTATTATTGTTTTGGGATTGTTGAATATGCAGGGAAGACTCAGCTTATTAACCATTTTTTGGTGAATAAAAGTTGGTATATTGTGGATTTGCCTGGTTATGGGTATGTTCTAATTCTTCTTTTGATTTGTTGTTTCAACCAATTTTTTTTTAGCTGGATGGATGTTTTTAAGCATTTCAAATAGTTGGTAAGCTAGAGAAAGGATTGAACTTGCTGTGCACAATGCAACCGAAATGATTCCTTTGTTGTTTGATTGTACTTTTATTAACAAGCAATTAGGTAAATATTTGATTGTAGTTCCAATCTACAAGTTAGTTTGATTTTGAGATAAATTTGTGTTGATTCCCACGGACGGAAGGACGCAGAATTTTAAGTTAGGGGGCGAACTTGGAAAACTTTAGGGGATGAATTTATAAAATTTTCATGCATTGGCAAATTAGCTATAATGAATCCAGGAATGATAGTTTCATTGATAATTTCACACTCAGGAAGACAGCTCTCGAACTATCGTTTGATATTCGAGTACAATTTGACTATGCCAGTATTAGTTTAACATATAATTTTTACTATTCCGGTAATCTTATTCCAGCAATCAGAACTTGAACCTTGTTGCTCATAACATTGTCAATATGCATGCAAGATAACTCTGCAAGTTTTAAGCATAGTTCCGGTTCAAATCCCTTCACGCTTCAACATCACTTAACAGAATGCAGTTATCGTATTTTTGGAGTTTGGGAGACAGCTTAGTTGTGAAGTTTGCAAATAGTTGGCTTATACAATTTCCTGCACTCTAGGCACAAGTCATTGAAGTGTGTAGTTTGTAGTTCGGACTTTTGAGTTTTCCCTATGCACTTGTGTAGTTACTCTTCTGAACATTAGTGTTTCAAATACTTGGTAGTTACGTAAACTGTCGATCCGATGAATTTTTCCCTCCTTCCTTGTCAAGTTCTCATTTTGCAATGTTGATTAGAACTAAATCAATCAGTCGATAGATGTAGTAGTGTAATCGCCTTTCTTGTTGGTTAGAAGTCCGTTAATGATGACTAGGGTTTATGCTTAATCGTACCTTCTCTTCACTCGGATACGGTATGAACACTTGACAAATCTATGCCTAATCAAGTTGATGGAATAACTCTTCAATTCGCATGCCGGAATTAAATGTTAATTAGTTATGCTTTCTATAAGATTTCGGTGTGTGCAGGATTACATCTTGACACCAAACATAATCCTTCAAATGTTCATATGTTTTCAGTTTTGCTAAGGCCTCGGATACTGCTCGAACAGATTGGTCCTCATTCACCAAAGGCTATTTCCTAAACAGAGAGACTCTGGTTGCTGTTCTACTTCTGATCGATGCAAGTGTCCCTCCTCAGAAGATCGATCTAGACTGCGCCAACTGGCTCGGACGCAACAACGTTAGCTTTACCTCGATTTCTTTTTCGTGGTTTCACACGGCTTTTAGATTTGGCTGCTTCTGATTTGTGTCTGTTTGTTCCTCTCACAATTTCAGATACCAATGACATTTGTGTTCACAAAGTGTGACAAAATGAAGGCAAGCAAAGGGAAAAGGCCAGATGAGAACATTAAGGACTTCCAAGAAGTGATTAGAGAGAAGTATAAGCAGCATCCCCCATGGATCATGACCAGCAGTGTCACTGGTCTTGGCAGAGATGAGCTTCTCCTACATTTGTCACAGCTAAGGAACTATTGGGATCAATAGTACTGCTCTGCTTTACTAACTTCAATATGCACAAGTATATACAAAGCTTACACAACCAATGAATCTAGATGCATGCAGATTTTTCTTTCGAATAATTGGCTTTAAATACGCCTTTTGTCTCATAATTTGTGTCTTATTATTGACTACACATATGGTTTTAGGAGATATGCTTGACCAAGGGAAATAACAAAATTATCACCTAAAATGTGGTGATTGATAGATTTGGCAGATTTGCTTTGATAGGTATGAAAAGGTGAGACATATAAGGGTATAAAGCGAAATATAAGTGTAGTTTGTTGAATTTTCTAGTAGGACATTTTGAACGAGATAATTTTAAAATCAAAAGAGAGACGTTTAGTGAGATAGGGGGAGTATTTGGTATCTAAACTTGGATTGAGCTTATTATATTATAGTCCCATGCAAATACAAAAACCAAAGAAATAAATAAAATATGAAAAATTAAAGTTCAATATTATCCCATTAATTAAGTTTAGGAAGAAAAAGTAGTTTACAGGTGAGTGGTTCAAGTATTGACTTTTTTTATAAAAAAATAACATTTAAAATTAATCCAGCTAATTAAATTTCATGGTATAAGAAAATCATTTTATAATAATATTATTACTTTATTTCTAAATATTTTTTGAATTTGAACACTCACTCCATCTAATTATAATGGACAAATTTTGAGTACAAGAAAGAGGAAGAGATAAATTAATTATTAGATAAACTACTCAAATGACCACTTAACTATAGGGTTGATGTCAATATGATAATTATACTTCAATTTTCACAATATGATCATTATACTTCAATTTTAACAATATGATCATTATACTTCAATTTTCACAATATGATCATTATACTTCAATTTTCACAATATGATCATATAACTATTTAAGTGATTTCAATGTGGTTACCTACTGTTACAAATGAACGGCGACCGTTAGTCAATAACAGCCACATAAGTTACGTCGTTTATTTAGTAACGTCAGGTCGTGGTTGCACTGAAACAGCTTAAATAGTTATATGGTTATATTACCAAAATTGAAAGTATGGTGGTTACATCGCCACCAACCCCATAATTAAATTATCATTTGAGTAATTTACCCTTAATGATTTGACTTAAATCCTGTGCTTGAAGACGATTATTTCAATCTTTCTGCAGCCGAGAAAACATGGGTGTTTCTCTTGTCTTGTTCTTCATTGCCTTTAAAAATGGCCAAATGCAATCTCATAGAGCTCCATCCCTTCCCTTTATAAGCCAACCCTGGTTGTTCTTCATGCACATATAGCTTTCAACCAATCTAATTGTTTCTTAGTGTTTGTGGAAACAGCAGTATGAGCAAGACAGAGAGCAAACTGAGCAGGTATCTAAAGTTTCCCATCAGGTTCCTGATGAAGGCCGGAGATTTCTACGTAAAGAGCATGACGGAGTGCTCGGAAAGAGTCGGCTGCGGGACCGTCATGGGGTGCCCGACAGGTCAAGTCTACGCTTTTCCGAGGAGCTACAGTGTCGGCTCGACGAGATCGGGTGACAGCAGCGACGATGACTACAGGGAACTTGTGAGGGCGGCTTCCGCCAGAAAATCGGACAACAACAAGGCGAGGCAGTCTCCGATGGTGCGTAGAAGTCGGAGCGTTGGCATTGGGAGGATTGATGAAGACAAGCCTTGTGAGTTTGAAGAAGATATTATCAAGGTGAAGCCTGCTTAATGCTTATTTCCCTAGGAGATGGAGCCATGCTGTTACAGTCAGGAAAGGTGGTCTGTAAGGAATTTACGCTTACTTCTTTTAGCCATTACGCAAAAATTAGTCTCGAATGTTTATCGTCACTCGAACGATCATTGTAATCTTTATTTCTTTTAAGTATTTTAATTGTCAACGATTTGATTTTTGGTTAAAATGTTTTTTGTTGGATGAAAAATGTTAATTAATTAACGCTTAAAGTAAGTTATTAACGTGACATTTTCACATGTCTTTAATTATTGATGTGTCGTATGTTATTTCATTACTTCAGATGATATGATACGTATCACGTCAATAATTAAGCACATATCATATTAGCAACATACATTGACTTTTAGTTAATTAACGATACAATATGGATTATTTTAATAGAAAAAAATTGAAACGTTAAGGGTTAATATACTCTGAAAAAGAACAGAGGCTAAAATGATTATTCGAACAAATATTAGAGGATAAATTTTGACTTATTAATGTACTTGTTCAATGGAAACTGTTAGTCTCGTGGACAATTTTAATGTCTACCTTAACATAATTTAATTGAGTTGTATATTATTAGAGTTTGGAGATGTTAAATAACATAAATAAATTATAGACTATATATGAACTATATACAGTGACAGATTCATAAATATTTTTTAAGGTGGGAAATATATGCTAACAATATAAAAAAATTTAATAAGCTAAGCATAAATAAAAATTTTAAAATGGAAACCATCAATAAAATGAGTCACTAATCGGAAAAAAATCAGTTTTCAAGGTGGACACCATTAATAAAATAGATGATTAATCGAAAAAAAAAATTAAATTTTGTGTTTTCAGGGTTTAGTTTTTTTTCCCTCGTAAATGGTAGAAGATAGAGGTGTACATACTAGGGTTTTGTATAACCTAATACAGAATCGATTTGGTAGAATATGAATTATGACCGCTAAAATATTATAAAATAGCATATGACCACTGAAAATTAACTATTGTTAGATTTTTTAATGAGTTATTAAAATGACACAATAAATATATAAAATTAAAAAAAATATAAATTATAAAAAATATCACTAATATTTAAATAAATTTTTATTTTTACCACTAAAGTTTCAAAAGTAACAAAGTGATTACTAAAACATCAAAAGCTTTAATTTTTACATAAAACTTTCCTCCCATTGCCTATGCCTTGATCTTTACATCAACCAATATTACAAGACTTGAACACTTGACTATATTGTTAAATCCGTTGCCCATACCTCCCTTGGATCTGTTTCTGCTTCATTCTCCTCCTCTTGAGGATCCTCGCCTGTGCCTCCGGTGCCTGCCTGTTCTCTAATCCCGAAACTCGAGTTCTGAGAATGGCAATGAAAATGGTGCCATTCACTTCTGCCCATGATGGAAAGGAAAGTATATCCCATTTTTTTCCCTGCTTTTCTTCCATGATTCTAGTATTTCTTGTGCAGAAGGCATTTTCAATGTTTGAGAATCACCATTCTCATCGATTAGCAGATCTATTTCAGCATCACCGTCGTTGACTGGCAGGTCGGTTTCAGCCTCGTCAAAATCTTTGGTATATTCATCTAGATTTAAATAAGGGACCGGCTTGCCTGAACAATTCGTATGCTCATCAGACCTAACACCACGAGCAAAATCCCTTGGGTCGTCATCTGCATTGACACCATCCACTTCATTCGTTCCATCATTATTAAGAGAAAACATAGCAAATGATGTGCCAATTGTTTCTGAAGGAGGACCTGTGGCTGCTTTACCTTTCTCTACTGTTATGTTCCCGGAAATACTCGGAATATCTAATCTCTCACAATCATACGTTTCTCCATTATTACAGTTGGGTTCTGATTTACCAGTGAATTCAATACCAAAGGACATGGAACTTGTTGACAGGGAAGATCCACAGAGAGAGTGCAAGGATCTTAACAAGTTCGAGGCTGTGACTTCGGATGACAACTCGGAACTGGAGAGTGCATCCAACAGTTTCACTAAACAACCCTGAGTAACCCTGTCTCCATTCTTCACGAAATGCTCGGTCCACCGCTTTTCGCTGACTTGAAATGGGGCTTGAGCCATGGTGTTGACCAAGGTGACAGCCTTCTCGTGATTACCTTTCAAAGTAGCTTGAATTAACATTTCAGTGAATATCAGAGGATGTGGAATCTCTCCACCTTCCAAAAAGGCTTCAAATGCATGTTCTAATAGATGCCACTGCAAATATCAAAGCAAACTAGTCACTTATTCATCCAGATCTTCTTCTGTACATTAGCAACTTTAAGAAAAATGTGATTCTCAAAATAATGTCCGTTCAGCAGAAACTTGGACCTGATAATTAGCTTTTCTTTTTTCATAAAATGCAGAATTAACAGCTTCAGAAATAATTCAAGGGCCACTAAAATTTAACACCTTTGTAACTTTGAATAAAAGAAAATAGGCATAATGCCAAAATTAGCCCACAACGTTTAACAAAATGGTTATTTTGGCCCGTAAACTTTTTTTTGATAGATCAAAGTGACCATTCAGTCAAATGTTAGGGGCCTTTTTGCCCTAAAATGAAACATAGGGGGCCAAAATGCTTCAAAAAGTAATAGGGGCCAAAATGACCATTTTGGTAAATGTTGGGGGGCTAATTTTGACATTATGCCAAGAAAATATATGTACAGCTTACCTTCCCAGCTCTAGATGCTTCCACAAGTAGAATTGGATGTTTACTTTGATCTAGCTGATACCCACATAGAGCCATCTCCCTGTAGACATACTCAAAATATTCCCATTGGTGAGCGCTAGCCGATGCCTCCAGCATTAGGCTATACGTGAACCCATCTGGGGTAAGGTTGCCAAACTTGCCATTCAGGGAACCATAAGGACCAGATCTGGCTATATTGGTTTTTTCGAACAACTCCTTGGCCTTAGAAAACATATCATTCTGCCCATACACTCTAAGCATTGCATTTATGGTTCCGATATTGGGTGCGCAATGGTCTTCCATGTATTCGAATATGGAAATGCAATCATCAACATATCCACCATCTAGGGATGCCATTATCAAACCAGTGAAGGTTATCTCCAAAGGTTTCCTACTAGGGAGTTTTTTAATCTTGTCCACCTGCAAACATAGTTTAGCTGAATTTAAAAGTTTCTAGGTCTATGGTCATCAATGCAAAATTGATGCATAGGTACAGACACTAAAAGAAACATGAAATACTATTAGACTTCATAGTTCATTCCAAGCTTTCTCCTTCATCCACTAAAAGTAAAATAATACAAATAGAGATAATATCACATTTGGTACCTGTATGTTAACAAAATATCCAATGCGACATTTTAAAAGAATAAGTACACATTGGACATTTTGTCAAAGTCAGGTACAAAATCTGACATTATC